TCGTTAAAATTTATTGGCAAGGAGAGGAAAGATTGACAAGAGCAAAATAATTGTATCGCATATAATTGGCTTACTCTCGCATTATATCGATAAAGATCATATATCCGGAAATTTTCTTACAATGCGAACAATGATTAAATCCCTTCACAGAGCAAAATTTAACTATATGAGAAAATTAAACTCTTAATCAGAATTTCTATATAAATCCTGTTAATTTTATTAAAATGAGTGCCTGGCGATTAAATTAGTATTGACCAGATATAATGCACATTTCAAACATCGATGAGTAGATATGTGGGTCGTATTACACGCGACTCGTGTAATGCGCGTTAAATGATCGTGAAGAAACGCGTTTCCTCCTTCATGCTCGGCCATCCGCGGTTTCGTTTGATCGCATGACGTCGATGGCAATGCGAGCGAATTAAATCTGTTAAAACCATATTATTCCTTTAAAAGTGTACGCGATAAATGCATTCGTTACAAAACCCCGTCAGCGGCTATCTCGCGACGGGAGTGGAAACAGGCGTGAGGAGGGGAAACACAGAGGGTGCTGCGTCGGAATCGTATCAGGGTGGAGATTGAACGAATGACACCGTGAGCAAATTTCCGCGATCGGTAGAACAGCGAAAGCGACCGTCACCCTCAAAGAGCGTCCGGCAATTAATTTTACAAGGGCGCAAAAGGAAGCAAAAAGTAAACAGCCCGGCGCGCATCCCGGGTCCATCGTCGCGACGATGGGTTTTATATCTCCGCTAGTTGTCAGGCCAACGAGTTCTGCCTCGTTGGCCACCGCGTATAATGTCCACCGTCAATATAAGCTGTCGGATGCTTTTTCCTAAATTGACAGATTTTCAATTTAATCAAGTTCCAATCTAATGGAAAAATGCCCGATCTATCGGTCGCGCGAGTAGGTGCGCGCGCATGTATGGGTGCGTATGTACGTATATATATATCTATATATGTATATATATGTATATACATGTACATGTGTATGTGTGTGCCGATGGGGATGACGTACACATTGAGAGAATGTATGGCCGACGCGCGGAGGGGCCAGATTGAAATAATACTTTTATGTTTAATCGCAATCGAGGAGCCTGCCCGGCGACGACGCGGAACCACCCGCCGATCTCCGAGATTAATCTATTGATAAACATTCCATCACTCCGCGAATACCATGTGAGAGAAATAGACGAGCCATCGAGCGATAGAATATCTCGGCGTTTTATTCTTTTTACTTCTTCCACTTTTTTTTTATTCTTCTCTTTGCCACCCATTCCCACGTTCGTCGTTCTGACCGCGTTGCTTTACAGACGGTCGCTCGTCAAACGTACGTTTTTATTAGCTAAATCTTTTGCGACTGCCAAGCATTATTGCGTCATAAAACCTTGAATTTTTCAATTCGCGACACGCGACCCGTTGATTTCCCTTGTTCTTGAGCCGCCGACGCGATTCTTGTTGCGCCCGACACCCCCTTGCACCGTTTTATCACAAGTATCCCAGCGAATATCGTTACATCGAATGCAAACAAAACTATAATGCAGCGTGATAACCGGATTCTTTACGGTTGATTGAAGCACAGGCATCTCAGCGTGTCAAAAGCCGCGCTGCTGCGCGGCTGTTGCGCGAGATGACTTCTTGCCGGATTTTAAAAGGAGACCGCAGAGGCCGTGCGCGGGTCTGGCACAACAATAATCATAATAATTGTGAAATTCGATCGAAATGCAATTGAGTCGGTGAAATGAGCTACCAAAGTAATGAGATCCGATCCGCCGAACATTCGCGGCTCCCCTGAACCGTTTGCCTTCAATCACTTTCTTGACAGATGCATTTACGGTCGGGACTGGTGGCCATCAAGTTGGAATGCGCCTTAAGGCTGGTTACGGCGTATCGATCCATCGGACGGTCAACGCGCCGGATTCAGCTACGTGAAATTTGCGTCTTCGGGTTCGAGAGGGTCTGGATAGGGTCGCTGTTTCCGTGACAAAGCTGTAGATGGTTTGGCGGCTTCTCTCGTGTGACCGACGAAATCTTCGGGGTCATGAGTGGAGGAATATTCGTGACGATGCATCCGTTTGGCGTTTAACGGTTTCCGATCGACAGATATGTTTGCGAGATACGCGAATATTTGCATATAGATTCATCATTGCGGTCTTTGCGGTTGCGAAAGACGCTCCGTTTTGCGTTTCTCTAACATTATTGTACGATATTCTTATTTTTACATTACTGCCGGAGTCGTAAAACGAATTGTCACATTTTGCTTCAGTAGGTAATTTAAATATTTTAATTTTCACATTACGAAAAATTTGAACACGAGATATTGTTTGCACAATTTTTTACATTTCTTCCAGTCAAAGACGCCGTCGAATTTTGCGAACAACCTTGCACATCTTGCAAAATCTTGAAGGTTGCTCCTTTACATCCTCATACTTATTGGCATCGCTGAATATCCATTATTCTCCCGAGAAAGAGAGATATTCCGCAATTAAGAGGAACGGCTAATGGCATTGAAGGGATCGTTAAGAATGCCGCGTTCAAAGGTCTAATAATTTATGATCGTGGAACAGAAGTTCGAGCCACTGTGGAACTCTACGCGAGTGAACTCCCCGATGAAATCATGGATAAATTATTCCGCTGATAACTCGCGTCTTCGCGTCTCCGAGCATCGCTCACAAAGTGCGCCAGATTTATTTTCCTTTCCGATTTGGAGAATTGACAGCGCATCGATACGATAGTCACGGAGGGATTATGTACGAAACCGCGATACGATGATCGATCGCGCCTTCTTTTCGTTGCCACGCGTCCTACCGCACGGCAAGTGCGGGCGGCTTATTATCCGTGTCTTGTTACAATGTATACCTGCAGGATATTCTTTTTTTTTTGTCAGACGCGAATGAAACATCCTTGTTCTTTTGCGCGTAAATTGCACGCTCCCTTCTCAGATCCGCGCCGGGCATTAAGTCCATGCGTGGAGTCCGGCGTGGATCCCGTGTTTGCCGAGGGGATAATAGTGTAATGGATGGACAGGGACAACGAGCTAACGGATGACTGCCGTTTTCGAGACTCTAGTCTCGGGCTGTCGTCGCATCTAGTGTCGCGGTTGTTCTCTTTTGTTACTTAATTGGCATCATTGTCGAATTCTTCGTACCGTTTGATTCTTTACGCGGAGAATACCATATGGCTTGTGTTCTGGCAATTAAGATCGTAAAGTGATACATCAACAGTGTGACTTAATTATATCATTATCAATAGAGTACTCTGTGCGTGACGCTAGAAATTATCTACAGACTTTACTACTGCGAGTTTACTCATGTCCATTTTTGCGTTTAATATTCTTCAATGTGCAGTATCATTCATTTGCATAAACATACTCTCGTGTCATTTTTAAAATTAATGAGGAACTCGGAGAAAGCGATAAGTGGGAGTTAATTGTCCCAAAGGAAAGTAGACACGTTTGACGACTAATACTTCCCGCTTGTTTGTTAAAGTTTCCCTACCAGCTAGTCCGATGTGCAAGCATCGACAAAACTGGTCCTCGTTCATCGAAGCGGATACATAAGCTACGTGCAAATATTTTCCGCTTTACGATCGTAGTCGGAGAAGTCAGCATTCTCTTGTAATATTTTACTGTCTTTTCTAATGACTTTCAATTGCCGTCGCTGCTTACAATTAATTTTACTACACAAAAAATAATTAACGATGGACTTATCAGTTTTATTAATAAATTTTTGCTCACCTGCATTTTTCGCTGATCGAAGAATGCCTCTTAATTTTACATGCATTTCTCATTCTTGTGTTTGCACACAAACAAATTTTAAATTATAAATATCAATTTATATGTTATTAGCAGTAGTATAATTATAAATAACGATTCGTTTGCGACCGATGCCGGTAAATGATTCTTTGCGCGCTGAAAATTGCTAATTGAGCTGATTTGATCAAGAAGCATATGACGGTTATTTCATCTTGTAGTTGTAACACGGAAGTCTTTCGTGCAACGCTTAGGCAAATATCGTAATGGCAAAGATAATCGCGTACTGTTGCACGAACCTCTAGAAGCTTAAATATTCTACTTCGGATTTTTCCGCGGTTCTTAAAAAACAAATTGAATTGCATTATGAATACACGAGCGACTGTTGATTATATGATAAATTTAAATTGACATTTACAAATTAAGGATTATATTTTTATCTTTATCATCTTGCAACAATTTTTGCACTTTATTCGTTTTATATTGCAAAATGTGCCACCCGCAACTACGATGATTAACGATTTTCTTCTAAAATAATTACTTAGTAAATGTGTTACTATACTTTGCTTATAACAAGAATTTATTTTGAGCATCGTCTAAATTGGTCGGTCATCTAATTTGATTGGATAGTCTGCAGCAAAGATTTTTGTAATTTTATTTTATCAATCTAGGACGCCGATATACGCGCGAAATTCATATTATTTTATTATTCGTTCTTTTAATATATAAAATACGTATTAAATTAATATTTCTAAAAAAATTTTACTTTGTACGATTTTAAAGTTATATTGCGTAATTCGTTGTAAATGAGATCCATGATTACGTCATTCTCGCGCCAAGTCAAGTCGCTTGATATACTTTGTTTTGTATGTTAATCATATACAGGTCAGAGAGACTATTGGCCGATTTAGGTTGAGATGCGACATGGTGGCTACTTAACCGCACAATTGGTTGTCATTGACACACAAAACCGTTAGTAACACGTGTGACGATTGTCTCGACCGGCAGATATTTAGCAGCGCCGTAGTTTCTCAAACAAATCGAAGCCTAAGTCGAGTGATTGCTAAAGATTGCACATTATAAGACCGTCTATTTTGCATAATAATTAAAAATCACTAACTACATTTCTCACACCAAGCAAAAATAACTATTATAATACAAATAATAAATATTACTGGAAAAAGGACAATCAAAAACAGTTAGCTAATTTCGAACATCAATAATCGATGAGAGAGATTTCTGTACTTACTTCGCTCTTGAGATTCAATGGCACATCGCAAGGGGCGTCCAGCTCTGCCTCCGCTTTCACCTGATGAGACAGCATACTGTGGCTATGCCGGGGCGGTACGGCGGTCGCCAGCATGTTGGAATGCTGCAGATGCTGAAGACGAGGCTGGAGATGGGGCTGGTGGTGATAAGGCGGCGACAATTGGGTGTTCAGAGTGCGAAGATCAGCTGGCGGGGAAGCGGGCGCAGCGGTACTGCTCTGTTCCTCCTCGGCCGAACCCTCCGCCATGTCAGCCTTGCATCCCGGGGACTCGTAATCTGCAAATCGACCAAAACTCTCAGAGGACCGTTCTAATAGCGGGCGCGCCGCCGCGCAGCCTCTAGCACCGACGCAATCCCATTATAGCGCGAATATAATTCGCGCGTTTCGATTCAATAGCGCGAAACGGTCGTGATGCGCTAACATTATGGATTTGACATTTTCGGATTGATGCCACCTTATAAATTTCTTCGAATAAATTGAACAGCGTAAAAAAGAGTATGCACGTGATTTCTATTCTAATATATACCGAACAATTTCCATCAAACAATTACACACATATCATAATGAAATATGCATTAAAATTTGTCCGTGAAGAATCGCAGCAGCTGTATTTAATTTTTTTTTCTTTTTTATAAAGAGCAAACGAAGCAATTTGCTGCGAAAAATGAGAGGCTTTTTTAAACGATCGATATCAACTGAGATCAATTTTGGTTTTTGTCGACCGAGGGAGAGAAAACGACGACACGCATAAACAAGATGCTAATTAAACGCGCGGCATGACGCGGTGCGAAGCGCGGGACCGCATCAGCCGTATCGAACGGCAGCGCGTGCAGCTGTTAAGAATGCAGACACTGAAAATTAGAAGGAGGCTCGTTCATCTTCCAACTTCAAAGCAAAAACATTTGGTTGGCGCATCGCATCGGAGGAGAGGAAAGGCGCGCGTTGCGACGCGAGAGGCGCCGAGAGAAGTTCCAGAATAAAATCTTTCGCTAACGCGCTGCCGCCCGCAGGCATCCCGCGTTTATCCGCCTAATTATTTTTATCTAAGCGTTCAGTTAGTAAGAATTCAAGGGCAATGAAATCACTCCCGTCTGGACACGCCGCTCCCTCGTCGCTTTCTGTTCGCGTCCCCTCCTCTCTTCACCGTCTCCGCCGCCGCTCGCCCGCTTCGTCGCGCCGCGGCGGCCGTCGTATACTTGGTGAACGCAACTAATAACATCTGCTTCTATTTTTGCGCTGGCCCGAGTCCAGCGCTTTACTTTTTAAAAGCCGCGCGCCTATGACGAACGGCTGGATGGATCATCGAGCGGAAGCCCGGGCATGGGGGGCCGGGAGTGAAACGAGCCGGTTATTCTGGACAAATTATTGTCAAAGGGCGAGAAAACACCTTCTGCCTGCGAGCTACTTTGTTCCTCATAAAAGGCGTTTTATAATGGCCATCGTAAAAATATTTGATGCCGTGCTTTAAAACGGCGGTGTTTATAATAAAAGCGTTAGGTCGTTGGGTACCAAATAGACCGCTCACAAGTGCAAACTCTGGTGTTAATGTCGCCTGTTCCCTATAAATATTGGTGTCCTGATATGCGCGCGTCACACTGTACTCGTATTTGTTTAGCGACAATCGCGAAAGCTTCTTAAGATGCCAAGCAATGATTAAGCGAAATCGGGAGAAACAACGCGTCTTTTTCTGACGAAGCCGCGGGTCGCTGCCGATTGCTATGTGGCTTTGAACTTAAAATGATTATATCGTACTTCATGGAATGAGAAACAAGAAAAATGAACAAGATTTATCTTTCAGTCTGTGCGACATTGTCCACCTGTCTTCGCATTATTTTACTGTTTCGCTTTCAAGTCTCCCTATCGAGTAAGCAAGCATGCACAAGTATCTTGAACATTTATGGATTAAATTTAAATGCTACAAATTTCATTAATAAAGCTTTTAATTTCCTTTTTCATTAATAAAAAAACAATACAAATTTTACTTCAAAATTAAAGAATGTACACATATTCTTTCGATTCAGATTTCTCACTTTTCAAAAACATTTTTTTTCTATATTGTAATGTGCAATTTCTTGTGAGAATTTTATATCAAAGTTATAAATGCAAACTTAATTAGTATATTCAAATAATATATAAATAATTTTTATATATAAATATATATAAATATTATAATTTTTTGCAAGTATGAAGTTTTCTCAAGATATATATAAGTTTTTTCTATATTTTTTTCTATTACGATAATAAAAGCTACTATTAAAGAACAAAATTATTATGCTCTAACAATCGCCATATTTGCCTCAAATCAATTAAAACGACAAAATAAGCTGGCTCAGAATGGAGCAACCGCGACTAGACGAAGAGATCACATCGATCATCGCTGCGAGGCATTAATTTACGCAACGTGCAACGGGAGGAGCTTTGCCGCTAATTAAGCTGATTAATAAGCATTATTCGATTTTTGTGCCATAGGAGCAAATACCGATAAATGAGTTGAAGGTGAATTGTCATCGATGCTTGTTTGAAAAACCAAATTGTCATACGATAATTCCATCCTCAGACATAATATCAAACATTCCGAAAACAAAGGTAATGTTACGCGAATGCATCAAAATTGCTGCCCTCAAAAATCAGATTCTGACAATAGAGCAAAATTCGCTTTTGTAAAGATCCTATTTAATCTTTGAACGTTTCTGTTTTTTTTTTTGTTCCACAAGAACGTGCCATCTCAGAGCACAACGATATGCAACCTATCTTTTTTCCGTTTCCAGTCATTAATTCCCGTCGGAATCATATTAATCGCTGTAGGGCTGCGCCCGTGAAATTACTAGACGCTTTAACCACTGGCTGTCCAAACCGAATTCGTCCGCAGCGATTATTATATCGCGTCCTGAGGTCTAATGCCGGGTATTCCGAAAGCTAGCCAATTAGTATCGTCGATTTGGATGCTTTAATGAGAGTGCGGTTTCATTAGCGTATCGCATCGCCCTCACGGTTTGTGACTCGTGAAATAGAAGAGGAATTCTTAACCGAACGAAGATATCGCGAGTGATTATAGCGCGATCGTTCAAACGTCACCACAACCGACCGTTTGGAAATTGGTACCTTCGCCGTGCGACCTTGAAAAATGCTCTCTTTACGATCGAGATCGCATAAATCTTTCGAAAAAGGGAAGAGGCTGCCCTGAGGTTATTTCGGAGATGTTCCATATAGAAATTAAATCGGGCATTCCGTGTATGAACAATGTTTTATGCTTTGTCCAAATTAATCTTTTCAAAACTTACGACTATCGATTTCTCTCGTTTAATCGAGTTCTCCAAAACGATAAAATAAATCTCCTTTCGCAACTCTCTTTCATTAGTCGTCATTCCGGTTGCGACTTCTCCGGCTCCAGATAATCGTCCGCTGAATAAACGGTGAAAGTTCGCATAATAGAACGCGCGATTAATACGCCAAGGCGATTGATATGAGAATCACTCGAGGGTCTCCGAAGGCAATTAAAACGGGCGCATTACGCGTGGTGCTGTCATCCGGTTAGACGCAAACGCGACGCGACGCGACTCGAGGAGGAGAGGTTCTCGAAGATTGGAAGTCATCTACCTTCCAGGATTGGCTCGAAGCGACACCCATCGTTTCCCGATTTTGTCGTATTCTCTTACATTTCTCTCTGTATCTTTTTCTCGCACCAGAGCGAGCGCGCCGGTCTTTCTTTCGCGTCATCCTCTTAGCTCGCGGCATGCATCGCCATTTCGCATTATAGTTCTATAGCCGACATCGTCATCGTCGTCGTCGTCGTCGTCGTCGACGTGGAGGCAGCGTCAGCAGTGTGCAATTAAGGGGTTGATTGATGTTAATTCAAAGGGTAATTAAGAATGTTGCGCATAAAAATCCGGTAATTTATGGTCATTGGGGATAATTATATGTTGACCAGCTTGTAATTGCAAGCGTTCCGTGGCCTATAGCTCGCCGTATACGCGTTCAGGGATTGCGGGTAGCTATCTAGTACGCGATGCGCGAGTGTGGCGTGGAGCGCGCGTGTATGTATGTTCCCGTACGGACTTCTTGGAGAGCGTGTGCGGGCGGGGATATACGGTCTCAGATCGCGGCTTATTATAGGGGCCAGTAGATAAGGTGGGTTTAGAAACAACCGGGCGCCTCTGGCCAGCAGCTAGTTTCTACGTAGCCGCCGACATTCTCCTCTTGGTACGACGCCGCTCGGGGCTATGAAGGTGTGTATAAACCACCTAAGCGGAGCTCCGAGGCGGTCGCGATTTACGAGGCCGATTCCCGACCGACAAGACGGCGGTTTTAGAATTCTAGGCCCGGTCCAATTCGCGCGGCGTTGCGTGGAACGGCGCAACGCACAAATCGCGGTGCTGCGTGTCTGGGGTGCTCCGCGCAGTGCTCAAGTCGAAGCTATAAATAACTGGGCGCGGATAATCGCCATATGGCCACGCATGTAGCGAACCACTGACCATTTCTTCGTAGCACTGCCGACGATGCCTGCCTTCAATTTCCCGGTAGAGTCGATTCGTTGAGAGAACTTTTCACCCGAACTGCGAATTACGTGTAACAGTATTTGCAATTTTCTTTCTCGAAGCGATAATGTCGGAGATCGAATATCTTCTGCTGGATTTCTATTTAAAAATTTGAATTCTGATAATTTGATTACCGATATAATTTCGATAAAATGTCAATCAAATATGAGATAAAATTTATTTAAAAATTTAAAAATTAAAAAAAAGTCCGAGTCTTCGATCGATGCTTCCCGCTATAGATTCAGAGATTGAATAACATACTGAAGAACATGGTGTAGCGTGGGTAACCCTCCTACTTAAAACACAGCCACTAAAATGATCCCAGCGGGACCAGTTGGCAACCGCCCATCGCGACATTGTCCTTGCGAGTCCTTTTTTTTCACGATCTCGTAATCGACCGGGCGCCCTAATGGCAAAGCATAATCGCGGCATTGTGGCGTCTAACCGAACATTAACGTTAAAGAAAAGTAGGAAAGAAACTTGCGCGCTCTCGCGAACGTGCTCGTATACGGCCGATTCGGATTACCGGATGGGTACTCACGCCGGTTCGCTGTGATCGAGCAGTAAATGCAATATAATAAGCGCGCGATAGATTAAACCGCTTCATGCTACCCTTCTATATAGGAGTTTCGCTTCGCCGGCACGAGCGGGCATAATTAAGGCGAGCGTACAAAGAATCCCCGCCGCATCCGTGTTAGTTAATTCGCATCGACCTTTAACTCGCATACGTACATAGGCATATCGGCTAAGGTAATGGCCGTTTCGTGCGATACCATTCTGTCAGAAATCCGTGGGGCTTTGTCCCGAGTCACGAAACGCAAGGATTAAACTGAACAGCGCGCCGTTAATGCGACTGTGCGAACGCCTCGTCGAGACTACAGCACCAGTTTCGGAGTGTACGTGGCGTAAGAGTGTCTGCGTGAGCGCGTAACGCGCGCATCGACGGGCGCGAGAGTGCCCATAAATCGGCGCCGAAGAGGTTCGGCATCAACACGCGTTATCCAAGACACGATATTTTACGCCCTCATCGGAATTCTGGTTACAAACATTTTACATTATTCCCGTGAAATTCTTTTTCGAAAAAGTAATCGAAGCGAAGGCTAATCCCGTACACAGAAATGAGTTCAGCGCCCGAAAATAAAACTGTACAGGCGAAAAAGTTCTGGCAACGGCGAACATCTATATTAATCCGTGTCATTTTAATCAGAGACACGATTTCTCTGCTTTATTCAAGAAATAGCCCATCGAATGTCGCATCTCGTGAATTTGATAAAAAGTATCATTTCGTTCCGAAATTTGGCACTATAACACGAGAACGATGCTATGCCTAACGATGCCTCGCTTAAATTTCGTGCGACGTATCCTCAGAGACGCAGGAAGAATATTTCATGTTTTACGGCGCCAGCGTCGTTGGGGTTTTGTGGGATAAAAAAGTGTCAGCTCGCTGGCTAAATCAGAGCTCCGGGTGCATTAAACTCCGAATTACCACAAATAGAACTTTAACCGCACATGCCCATTATAATGGCACCCCCTGCTGAAGACGTATTTACGTACTAAACTGCCTCCGTGGCTCACGCTGAGTCGTCGGAATTAACATCTGGCCCAAAAACCTGCCGCTCGGTTCATTGGATCCCTTTTTCTCGGTCTTACAAGCGTACTCACTGTACCATCAGAAGTGCTTTCAATTATTCGTAGAAGAGAATGCCTGTTATCGTTTTACTCTACAGTCGTTTAATTATTCTGTTTTTAAAAGATTATTATTAACAATATATTTATATTGTTGTAGAAAAGAAATTAAGTATATCGTTATTTGAAGAAGAAACAAGATATATATAAATACAATTATTCGAGATATTATATACGTTTGCTTTTGGGAAAGAAAATACTGCTAATATGTTGAAGACAAAATAATTTTCAAAGTTTTACATGCAAATTAGATCTATTAAAATATCAGAATACAGTTTATCCAGCATACAAAAACATGAGTACTGGAACAACTTTCTATTTCTCGAATCATATCCCGTCCCGAGCTATTATGTGCGTGCGTGTTTCCTCATGAATTATTAGAATTAATGAGTGTACACACATTTCTTTTAATATTGCAAAGGCCAATCGTAGACATATATTTATATATAGAGAAAGAGAGAGAGAGAAAGAGAGAGAGAGAGAGAGAGAGAGAGAGAGAGATAAAGAGAGAGAGAGTATTTTTAGAGTAATAAAATTTGTTTTGCCACTTTTTAACGCCGCAAACATTATTAAATCGCTAATGTTTCTCGCGCAAACAATGATAACATAATTCAACGCGATGTAAAATCGAACTTTTATGACAATTGTTTCATCCGGCAAGTAGTAGTATTTGAGATAATAAAGAGCTCGACTTCTCTTTGTGGCATGCACAAAGAACCAACAGAAAGGGTTAAGAGAAATTTTGTAGTGCATTTGCAGTTATACAAGCAGCAAATAACCGTTACCATTAGACTGTAGCGTGCAAAACGACGGGTAAGCATTGCGCCTTACACTTGACACACCAAGACTGCAGCAAAACTTTCCTGCCCAGAACGATTTCCGAGTCGATAATCAATGAAGATTCTCAGACGCAAAACAGAATAGCGCGGCTGTAAAGCGAGCTCCAAGTGGATAAGTTGTAGAACGAAATGTTATCGTGCGCCGGATTGTCGGCAGGGGTTGAACCGGGTAAAGGGGAAGCTTTGAATGGGGAAGCCAAGAAGGGGAAGCGAGGGTGGCGAGAATAAGAGAAAAGAGACGAAAGAGGAAGACAGAAAGAGAAAAAAGCGGAAAGATGTAAGAAGGGGACTCGTTTTCTTGACCTCGACACAAGAGACATAATAATCCTAGTGATCTTTTGCTGATTTTGTCAAATCAATATCAGCAACAAAACAGCCGGAATTTGTTAATCTTTTCTCTGTAATAACAAGTAACGTTTAATAATTTAATTACAGCAACAAACAATTGCATCTTTTCTTCGGTACATTTTCTAACGTTAATTAGAAAAATATATATTATTACCAAATAATTTCTTACGAGATACAACTCATAGCATGCGGAGATCTTAAAATAGCTTTACTGAAATTTGACGTCACTTAGCCGAGACGAAACATCTCGCTTTCTTTTGTGTCGATTCCAGAGCGCCTACAATATCGCGAGTCAAGTGTTTCCTTTGGGATTTTCTCTGCTTTCAACTCTCTACGTCTATTCCCACCGACAACGACTCGCTATGCCAGCTTCGACTATCTCACTTCCACCTCCGACGGCTAGAATTTACTGCTCTTCCTCTCTTCTGACTCCTCCAACCCTCTCTTTCACCTACCCTCCGTTTTCCCGAGGCGGCAAGCAAAGAACTCTCCTACCCTCGGGCAGCTCACACTGATTTTCCACCCTCGTCACCCTTCCCGTCCACCACCGTCACCCCCTCTTCTCTCTACCTCTGCCTCTGCCTCCTCTCCGCCCCCAGAGCTCACGCCGTCACTCGTAGTCACGCCGCCAACACGTGCTCCTGTTTACCTCTCCGGTCATATGGTACGGGAGATGACGCGACGTCGTCGTTTAATCACAAATATCTGTCGATATACATCTTACGCGGTTAAAAAAATTATATGTAATGTTTGAATTTTTTTTATCGCTCGCGTAACTCTGGTGACTGATGTCGTTTTTTTTATAAAAATTGCTTTAAAAAAGAACGTATAAGAATGTGGAGCGCTAATATATATTCATAAATAATTGGGACGTCTGCGAGGCGAGTATTACGGTACCTTGTTACTTATGAGCCATTAACAAGTCGGTTATCGGATTTTATTTCGGTCTCCTCCGCAAATTTCGATCACCTAGTTTAGGATACTTAACATAGCGTTATGCATGGATGATATCGACAAACCGTACTATTACTCGTATGCTTTGTATAGAATGAATTATTTCCGCAACATTGTGTTATCACGCGATAACTTGATTCTTGATTCTTGTTTTAATATTTATAGCAATCAATACTTCTACGCTTTAAAAAACGTGCTAAATTTTTGAAACAAAATAACAGCTGTACAAGATTTTTAAAAATTATTAATTAATTAATCATATATAACTTTTAGTTCTCAATTATATCTATTTTAGTATAGAATTATTATTTTTATTAGCTTTAGCTGTATATAAATTTACCTTTTCCTCTTAATATATTTAACATCTTTATCTAACGTCTTTATGATCGTGCTAATAATTATGTGCATAATTTAGAATGAATATTATATCAGATATCTTAAAAATAGAGCTCATATCACACATTCCAACTAATTATAATAATTGCTTCATGACTGTTGCCTGATTATATAATATTCTCATAATGCTGATTTTTTACGTTATAGGCTGATTCAAAAGAGGTTAGAGATTAAGAATTCCTCGCAACCGCATTACATTTACATGCTCGGTCGATCCTTTAATTAGCATTTTCAGGTCACACACTCGACGTAGACGCGAGTATACGCGGGCACGCATAATTATCGCGCTAATTATTAGTGCGTAGCTAAGTACCTGGATGAAATTATCACCGAGTTGGAGTGAAGCGCAGAAAACGAAGCGCTGCTTTCGATCCCTTGCCAGCACAATTCCCGCGTGACCAGCTTTGGGAGAGGAACTTCCTTAATTACCGAGATTAATTTAATGGTATCGAGCCAACGATTATCGCTCACGAGACACGCAATTGCCGCCTGAATGTGCGCATAGCAGTAGAAAAGGATAAATAGATCTTAGAGCTGATTTCTAACGTATTTTTTCCAACAAGCATTCTATCTTAAGCTCTATTCAATCCATTAAACAATTAATTAAATTTAACATGTTAATAATCAACCATTAATCATGCGAGAATTAAAAGAAAGGATTTAACTGTTTCGAAAAAATGATCCAATGTTTCTTATTTGTTTCTCGAGACTATCGCGTAACATATAAAAAACAGAATTAATTAATCATCATTTGAATGCTGTTTCTACAGCATTTTAATGCGCTTTACGCGTGTACATGTGATGGATGCGCAGGCGCGTTCATACACGCGGCTAATCGGTGTGTGAGAACTACACACGTGTAGTCGGGGCCGGGTGCATTTAGAAGGCCCGTCTAATTATCGAGATTAGCTTGGGCTTATAATAAGCAAGAGCGAACTCGTGCCTGACACTCACCTGAGGCGATTTGTGACTGATGTATTTGGGACGTCGTCCTGACGCGGGTTTATCAAGCGGCTGTTATTTATCTCCGCCACGGTGCAATTCCGTCGCGGTCGTACCGATCTCGTCGGTCAATCGTTTGTCTTGCTTTGGTTCTTTCGATGTCGCGCTCACACCGACACGGCTCGTTTCAATTATCTCCTAGTCTTCCCCTCCTGCCGTCTCTTGCCGTGCTTGCGAGTTTCACGATCTTCCGGTAATTTTCCTACGGCGAATATTAACAGACCGTTTTGATAGCAATGGTGGATCGGCGTCGAGAAACGGACGATTCACTGATACATCGGCTGCTGGTGACATCAGCCTACTTAATTACGGCGAGTAATTGCGAGTAATTAGGAGCGATTAAGAAGCAAACAGTTAATTGCCCGCGACTTGATAAAACACTGCTTGGTCGGTTCCGCCTCCTTGTTTCATGCCCTAAGTTTAAGCGATCGATTGAAAGAAACGTGGCGGGCAAACGTCTTCGATCTGTTTTACGATTATTCTGGATATGAATGGAATGTTTTCAAATATTCTTTTGCGATTTGATTCTCGCGACGATGCGTCACCGAGCAGTTAACCTGTAGATAACATTACCTTTCCGCGTAATGTGATTTTAATTATTTTATTTGTGCGCGTCAAGCCGTGCGCTTCGCAGTTATTGTTCGTAACGTATAATTTCGCGCTGAAAAACACTGGCGTATCTGTGTGATGATCACGCGCGTGTCGTAATTATCAGCGCACTCGTCGTGATAATTAGAAGCTTATTAGAGCCGGAGTCCTTGTTTCATCGCTTTCTGTTGTTTAGCAACAACACGTATGCTGTTCGAGGACGCGTGTCTCTTTCTAGATCACACTCGCGGTAAAATCGTCATACAATTAATTATTTTTCACCTGTTCTGTGCACTTATCGCGATTTAACGTTCCCACACACTTACTCCTCATTTACATTCGGTGGACACGAAGCAAATCGTCGCGATCGTCGTAATTTCAAATAGCTGATAATGAGATAACGCAACTGTCAAGAGATTTATAATTCGTCGATCTCTCAATTCCTCAATCGTTGAGTGACTGTCACAGGGTTCACCGCGTTTAAATGTCCGTAAGGCGCACCGAAAGAAGTCCCACCCCTGCGGCCACGTGCTGATAGGCCGGTCAAATCGGCGCACGCAGCTACACGTTCAAACTCTCTAATCACTCCCTAGTCCACAAAACACTAATTTTCCACCAATATGTCGCGAGCGATCTTCGCGAAGGAGTTGTCGATCGTTTGATTCTGCTTGGCTCCTTCTCCAACAATTAGTTCGAGTTTCTCGATTCCAAATACAATTCTTCCTTGTTCCACGATCGGTACTGTGAGCGATGATCCAAATTTCGCACGATTCTGTCTCGGAGAAGGCGGGCGATCCACTTCTCCTCGTGCTGTTCTCGCTTGGCAGCGTGGTCGTGCACGTTGCGCGGTTGGAGCTCGACGCGAAAACTCGGACCTAAACCTGACGGTCCGCAGTCTGGCTGCGTAGTGGCCCCGGCGTACAACCGAGGGAAGACAACCCGCCGTGACGACTCTCCCGCCTGGTGGGTAGTTTCTGCAGAAGGGGTAATATGGGCGGTACCATAGGCGGTACCGATGCGCGGAGGTGGTCCGCGAGTTACTCGCGAGATCCCGTTGTTATGATTGTTATGAGTGTCCGAGCTGCCTCCCGCGATGCACTTTGGAGGGTGGTACGCCCGCGAGAGGTACCTCTGTCCGTCTCTGTTTTTCCAACGTATTCGCATCTCGCTCACTCTGTAATATAACCACCACGAGCTCGAACGAGCTCGTAACCGTGATGCAAATCAGCCCGACGGGGCTGGTGAGTTCGCCGGCGGGGATGCCCGGGAGGAGCGATCGGCACGGAGGACCGATACGAGGCTCCTGTGATACGAGAGCCGACCGCGGGAGGAAAGAAGATGATCGGTACGTAGGTAGCGGTGTGATTTTAAGAACCGATCAGTGAAATCGAGAGATACTCTCCACCAATATCGGCTGTTGAATAGGCGAGCGGTAAGAAGGCCGTTAATATCGCTGGAGAACGTCCACACGATGCTGAGAAAGTCGGATAGATTCGTTTTCGACTTTGAAGATTTTGTACTTTTATCATTGTTCGATGACATTTAAAATTGTAAATAAAAGAGTATGTACAGACATTTTCTAGTCAATTATAAAATTGTTTATGGAGAACACTGAACTGAAACTAAAATATTGTTACGATTACGTAAAACTTTCTTATAAAATAATCCATGATTTACGCTTGTATTGATGTAATAAATTATAAAGGTTATGGAGAATTTTTTAGAATATTGGCAGAAATAATTCGATTTGAAAAATAGTAAATAGAGTAGTATACTTATTTCTTAGCAACTTCATAAAACGGGAATATTTTCCGCACATTTCCAAACTAATCATTAAAAATTAAAATACAAAAGAATTGCGAAAGAATTGCGAAAATTTTGGTATTTTTAGACATAGAGTTTGCGATCATTTATTAAGTAAATTGCTATTCTGAGTAAAAAAGTGCTAACTTTGATTTATAATACATAGAAGATAACTGATATTAATTTATCAAACAATTTACTTATTTCTTTCCTTTTTGGCGCATACTGATAACAATGTGAGTATTTTATTGTAACATTTGATATTTTGATCTATTACGAAAGTTAATATAACCTCAATAATGATGAGATTATTTTTTTTAATCATTGCTCAAGATGGATAAAATAGTCACAGAATCGCGCCCGAAAGTTAACACGTAATAAGTGCGTATCGCGGAAATGGTAATCTATTTCTATTTAAATTTTTGTCACGCAATTATGCAATTTAGGTTACTTTATACCAGCAAAGTACAATAATTTTATTAATATCATGAAATTTATTTGGGCATTAATTTTCATGGACGATTACAAATATGTCGGGACGCGACATTTTCGCGCATTCAATCCTCTGACGACGTGACCAAAAGAGGACCACGAGTTGTAAAATTTTATTGATGTTATAATAATTAAATGTGAAATTTTTATATAATATTGTTTTTAGTAGTTTTTAATTCTGCAAAACGTATTCTTTAATGTAACTTATTTATTTAATGCATTATGTTTTTCAAAGCAATTTGCAAATATATCTGATTGACATTTTTCATAGATTATTTTCAAATAATGCATTGTTTTTCAAGAAATATGAATTATATTATTGAAATATAAATCAAACACTATTTTTCAAGAATAAAAGATACTGTGCAAATCTTATTAAAAAATATATTTTTAAAAATTGATATTTTGATGAAATATCAGAAACGATTAAAACTACAATTTTCACAGCTTTTTTCCACTAATAAAACACACAATTTATTTAAATATATTAATTATTATGGTATAAATTCTAGTTTCCGTTCTTAATTCCAAATCAGAGCAAAATCACTAACGTGATTCGATTACAAATCCATTCCGATGCGTACAAAACTGTAGGCGTACAAAGTTACACGCTGCATGAGCTGGAAGGGTGCGTTTATTAAGATAGAATTTTACCCCTTTCCTGCTTGCGTGTCGCCCTCGCCGACGCCACTGACACCGTCCGCACCCTCAGTGTTTTAATGTTCTCCCCTCAATTTCTCCGACGTCGACTCTGACCATATTCCGGCTTGATTCGACCCTTAGACACGATTCCAACGACCCGATGGCCAGTTTATTTTAAATATCAGTTAAATTCTTGAAATTCTTTCTGTTGCACCGCAAGTGCAACTATCCTATCATGTTAACTAACTCTAAATTAATATAGTTATTTAGAAACTGTCCTCGATTGGTCCTCTTTCGATCGATTATGGGACAGAGCTCGTGACTAGGCTCTATTGTGAAAATTCAATAGTTCGTTCATTTATCCAGTAAATTGCACGTCCGCCAGAATAAAAACGTTTATCAATTTATATATAACGTCGTTGTGGTGTAATAAAAAGGTTGGATTAGTTTTGCAATTTAAATATTGTCGGAATAAATAACACAAGTTATTTATATTCCTCTATAAGTAATGCAATGTATGACTATTTGCGGGATTTAATGAAATCATTGTAAAATTAATGACAATGTACATAACGTTTTGATTGTTGCAACAGACATTCTAAAATTCTAATTCTACATTAACATATAAATTAATCAAGCAAATGTAGTAATTTCGAACTTTGCAATTTTAAGAAACATTGCCAAAAGTTTCTTGACGGGAGAGCGAAATGATTAATATATCTCAATGAGATTCAGCGCGTGCATCGGCCGTCTTTTTTTCCCCAACCAGCGTGTACGTCGAGCGTCGACGTGGAAGAAGGGAAAGTCTCTTACACGAAATATACGAGGAAATGAATGAATACGGCCGTCCTTCTTCCTCTCGAAGGTCCACGTGCTTTTCACATATAACTCGTCCCCGTGGAGGCAGGAGTGTAGCCAGCTGGTGGTTGAAGTTGTAGGAGTCGGCAGGATGTGGGTCTCTACTCTCTCGCCCTGTTCCTTCTATCCCGCTTTTCCGCTTTCCCGTAGACGTCCCTCTCGCTCGTGCTGAACCGGCGACACTCGTCCCACTTCCTGCGAACATGTCTATCCTTCTCCCTCCTTCCGACCATCTCCGTCGCTCTTTCTCCACACGCTGTCGACTCATCCCCCGTGCTAGGGTGCTTCGTCTTTCTCCCCCGTCCCACTGGATCGATTAAAACTACAAAGTGTTGCCTCTCCATCCGTTGGTACGCTCATTCGTGGTCGACTACATTGCTCTGGCACTCTCCTGGCGGCACTGGGTTACCAACTCTTTCCCGACTCCCTCTCTGTTCCTCCGCTCGCGTGCTGTTCCGTCTTTCTCCTTTCAGCTCCACCGCCGTCGCCTCTTTTTTCGTCCTTTTATCGGAGGATCTCCGTATTCATGGGCGTTCGCTTCGCTTCCTGATAATCCCCGCGTAAAACTTCTCTGTCCCGTCGGGATTGCTCTCGCGCGCTACCTTTCCCCCTTTCGCTTGCGTGAGGGACATCGGTCGTGCGCCACTTCTCACCTCCAAGTTTTCGTTTCACGGCCATGGGAACAAAAGATTTCGCTGTATTCGCGTTTATTAAATTACCGCTAATTAATGCTCAAAGACATCTTTGCGAAAATACAATTTCAATATTAATTTCTTCAAACCGACTTCTCTCACCGTATATGTTTCGTTTTATTTGCTGTATATATTTTCTTAGTTTTGAATCCGTTTACTTAATTACGCCGCTACTAAGTTACATCTTAAATTACCGCAAATAGTAACGGCATTATATTTGTCTGACCGACATCGTTAACAAAAACATTGTAATTTTTATTGATAAATTTTTGAACAGTGCAGTCAATTGTGTAGAAATAAAACATAACTTCTATAGTAGGAAGTCGGGACGATTAGTCAAATCTTGCTCCCGGGTGAAAGGTAAAGCGCGATTATATCCCCGAGGCTCTGTCAGTATCCTTCTTGGGGCCTTGTCCGCTTGAAGTCGCAGCAACCTGGCTAATAACAGAGCCAGTGGAAGCCAAGCGGTCTTTACGACCATCTTCCCAGAAGTATAAACCCTGGACCCTCGCCACCATTCGTCCAGCTACGTTCGGTCTCTCCCGGAGCGCCGTACGGACCCGCGAAATTTTGCAAGGGCTAATTAATGCGAAAGGGCCCCGACAACAAAGTTGCTCGCGTGATCGCTCTCTTAAGTCGCCGGCGCGATCCGACGTGTTGGAAAACACGAAGAAGCGAATGATCCAGGAGAATGAAGACGAGTAAGAATAGAGGCGCCAGGATGAGTTGGAGCGGACGAAATAATGACCCTTAGCGACAATCGAGGTGAATGTTATGAATATTGTCACGAATATATGTAAGATTCTCGCATGTTCGACTTTCTTTATGCGCGCAGCGGATGCAGTGCGGGCCGCAAGATGAAGGTAGAAGCAGAAAAAGAAGAAGTATCACGCTTCTGGCGGAAGAACTTCTTCGCGTGACCACGTAATGAATGGCGGAAGATTATTTTCAAAATTGTTTTCTTATGTCTTCTCCAAATGCGCGAGAAGAAGAGTTAGCAGGTGTTCGACAAAGATAATGCTCGGAGATGAGCGCTCTGTACAAGGCATGCATTTTGGACGAAGCTATCCAAAGGAACATCTCTTTGTGATCGCTTCCCCACTGACCGATAATTTTGCACCTCATTGTTGGATAATAACCGTATAGCAACATTGTGGTATCCTTTCGATATCCACTTCCGATCAAGAAACTTTTTCACACCGCAGCGGGAGATTTCACGAAGCACGAACTTCGTGGGACATCGCTGAATATTCTTTTTGCATTTGCTGTACTTCCTTTTTACAATTGTATTGAATTGCTGATTGGCACGTAGAGTCCGCGGCTCTAAGAAATTTTCGGTTTATGACTTATTATTTGTTTTTCGATATTTGTAAATTCGACAACAGCATGTTTCTAATGACGGACGCAA